ATTTATGATCATTAAAGCACTACAGGTAATAAGGTTTCAGTGACGAGATTCTGAGACGACCTTTTTGGTCGCCACTAAAACTATACGCATGTAGCAATAGTTTTGGTGGCGACTGGAAGAGTCGCCACAGAAAGTCTGTTACTGAAAACCTTGTTCCATGTAGTATTGCACTCAAACAAGGCAGATTATTTTCTCAACTCAGCTTTTCCTTAGTTTCAGCCATCAATGCAACAAAGCCGAACTCAAATTGATTTTTGATATTGTAATTTCTATTAGAAAAGATTCACAAAAGGAGTCTTACGAGAGAGTGAAAGTTCTTATGCAGTCCAAGCTGAGGGTGTTTGCTAATACAAGTAGTAAGGATGGGAATTGGGTCGGGTCGGGTCGGGTCGGGACCGCGGGTTAAACGGGCTGGGATAATTTGGCTTGCGATAAGTGGGTTTGTGCCGGTCTCGTGGGCCGATTTTTAGCTTTGGAGCTGTTTGGATCGGGCCAAAAGGACCCAACAGATTTATTTTTAAAAAAATAGTCATTTGGTCTTTAAAAAATAGTCACTAGGTCTTAAATAAATAGTCATTTAACCCCCCTCCCCCCCCAAAAAAAAACTAATTTTTAACTCCAAATTTTTTAATATTATACTTTTTCCCTATTTTTTACTATAAATATCCCCTCATTCTTTCATTTTTCTTACAAAATCAATATCAATCTATCAAAATCTCTCTATAATTTTTATATATACTTGCTACAATTGTTTACTTTATCACAAAAAAATAGTTAAACAATTGTGAGGTTGCTACTATTGCTTACTTTATTCTAAAAAATAGTCAAAAAATATTGAGGTTATTACAATTTGTAAAAAAATTGTGAAGTTAGTGAATTGGAGTCTTCAAATCTTCAACGATAATCAATCTTCAACAAGTTGTTCGTCAATTCGGTAAACTCGTTCCAACTCGTAAGTCTTAATATTATAGTTTTGTTTGTTTTATTTAATTATTTTACTTGATTAATTAATATGTCTTCCTTAAATAAATATTTTGATAAAAGTAAGAATAAGGGAAAATCGAAGACTGGCGAATCTTGTGGTACGGTCTTTCCTCCTCCCCTGCCCCCGGCTCCCCGAACCAAACCTCGTTGTCGTCCTACACCTGCTATTCTTGATACTGATAATAGTTTATTACAATTTAGCGACACTGAATTTTGCCATAATATTTCACCCGGTGAATTTTTAAACCATGAATTAATGAATGCTCTTTATTCTAACAATTATAATACTATTAATGAAAATAATGATGAGAAAATTGATTTTGATGAAACCCAACAGGACGATGATACACCCACTAGTCCAACTAGATGGAATTACATGTATGAAAGTTTGGTTGTTGCAATCTTCTAAAAGAACTGTGGGAATAAGAAGACTTAGTGTTTGGGCGGGGTCTAGGGATTCTTTTAGTTCTAGTAGTAATGATTTTTCACAACTAAATGAGTTTGAAATTTATTTGTCGCAGCAACTTGAGGAAGTGAATCCTGACGGCACCTTTGATATTTTGCAATGGTGGAAGGATAAAGAAAAATACTTTCTGGTTCTTTCAAGGATGGCCCGAGACGTTTTAACTATTCATGCTTCAACAGTGGTATCAGAGAGCGATTTCAGTCAAGCAAGACTTCAAATCGGTGATCATAGACAGTCTATGAACGATGGAACTAGCTCAGATCTTGATCGGTGATCATAGACAGTCAAGAGGCAAATCTTGTGTCACTCCATCTGGTCCTATGAAACTAGCTCAGATCTAAATCTTCCATAGCCTGTCGAGCATGTGAAATGGCTGGCGGAGCATTTCGATTTTATTAATGAAACTATTTTCCTTATCTTCTATTCCCACTACAACTTCTCTTGGAGATATCACATATTCTTTAGCAAGAAGTTTTTTTCTTTTAAATTTTAGTTTGAGGATTTATATCACTTTTGAATTATGTCCAAAATTGATAACTTGATTAGTTGCTTGCTATCCTTTCGTTTTCAGGGGAACCATTCGGATAATTGAAAGGGTAGTTCATCAAAAGAGTGGGCATCTGAAGATTCCCAAATATTGACAAAACATATATATGCATACAAAATTGATGATGATAAAAGTTTTGAGATTTAACATACGAGGCACTCGAGATTAAATTTGACTCATTACAGTTATTACCCTAAACCTTTAATTATTGGAATCTAGACAAGGAGCTAATCTCTACCAATCGGTCACAGAAAATAAAGTATATTAATAATTATGATTGGCCCTAGGTAAGATTCACCAAATTCTTCATAGGTCCGTCTTACTATAAAGATGCTAACAAATTGCGAACTCGATCTTACTGATGCTTTCGGCTAAGTGAAACTGGAGGAAACTGAAGGAACGTGCAGGCTTTGGTAAGAGTATATACAAAGACAGGCAATTCAAGGATGACTAGCTTTGTTCGAACCTGGCAAATCACCCCTTTAATTATGAAAAATAATAACAATTGATCAAAATTAACAATGATTCTATCCAACCCAAAAAAGAAAAATTAATAATGAACATTGAATTATTGGTTTATGGCCTAAATAAGAACCAGATGTACTTGTTTCATATCTGTTTTGATCTGCCCCGCCCTGCCTTGTGACGTCCCATTTAAGCATTGCCTTGCCCGCCTTGTTTAACTTATGCCCTGCTATGCTCCCCTGCCCCGCTCCATTGCCATCCCTGGTTATAAAAGGAGAACATTACTTTTTGACGACATTAACATAGGTCATCTAGACAATATTAAAAAGGGAAGAAAAGAATGTCTATTTACCTTTTCAATATTTTCGGAATGTATTGGTTCTATTTATTCATTAAAAAAAATTCTACATCCCACTGAGGCTCAATGAACAAATAGGCGTAGGAAAGAGCGAGAGGGGCTTGCGAGCCCTCTAGTTGTTCAGGGACCACCCATCCTTTGCTTTCTTTTGTTCAATCCTGTGAGACCAGATTAATTTTTAGAACGAAATAAAATGATAAAAAGAGAACGCTACTAGCTGAAAATCGGTTGATGTCTCCTTAGTTAATTTGTGTAGGGTTAACTTCTTCGATTAGCCAACACACTAGAAAGTAATATCGATAATTTATCTTCTTATTTTAAACATCATAATCCTTGTTTTTGTACAATGTATTTAAACTATGATCTCATCACACATGATATCATTCCCAAGTTAAAAGTATTAGTACAATATTACGCAACTTCATTTACGTTTGGACGTATGTTTGTAACATTTTCTTTTGTGTCTTCTACTGGGGTGTAATGTGAGGGACTGATACTCTGATAATTGGGATTCTGATATTGGTGAAGCCAAACGAACTATGTCAGATTAGGTATATAAAATTAAACTTAAAAAGATTCATATAATAATAAGATTGAGATGAGTCTGAGAATCTGAGTTGTGAATTAATTTAATATTTGGAAGATTAGGTGTGTCTTTGTACGGTGCCAAGAAAGAAAAGACAAACCCCAAGAGTTAAATTACCTGTCTGCTGACATCTTTCCTCTTAGAGCAGGTAGGGCACCTGCCATGCTCACTTCTTTATATTTAATTCTTTTCCACCTTCAATTTATTGTGCATTTAATATATCAATTCTTCTATGAAATCAGTGAGCGATGACCTTCTTAACCTCGGTAGAAATAGCAAAAAAGGAATTCGGTTAACTCATAAAATTATTGATAAAGTCAAGATTTGAAGATTATGGATTCTGAATTTGTATATAAACTTATAACTCGTTTTAATTACTGAATTCACGATTAAATATTTAAGTAAATATATAAGGTCTTCTGAACACATACGTGATACTACAACTCCGCCCCTACGTAAAACTAATGCTAGTTAGAGTTCAGTAGAAGATAATATTGAAGAATTCGGTCATTATAATGTCAAGAACAAATTCTGTTGCAAAATTAGACGTATAAGAATAGTTATGCATATTTATCTTATAGTTTTTCAGTTTACGTTTTGAAAAAAAGAGAGTATAGTATTTCTGTTAGCATTCGTGAATAATACACGTTCACAAACAAGAACTACGGCTACCCGGCCCGTTGGACACAATGATTCTTTGCATTTGTTACGAATGAGAGAGATAATGTACTGATACAAACAATCTAATTTGATAAGATTTTAAGTTTCGTGCATATATCGATAGCAATCAAGTTATTTATAAGATAATTACATATAAATTTTATAATAAGCATTAATTAATTGATAGTCTAATAAATATGGTAACTATGTACACTGCTATCATAAATTAAAATTTGTTTATAGCATAAATTTTACATTTTCAACGTATATAACTTCAATTTATCTGGTAAATATTAAAGGAAGAGTTTAGTGAAATGTATAAAATATTTATACTATCATGTTAAAGTAAATTATGTACTCCCTCTGTTTATTTTTACTTATCCAGTATTTTAAAAATAGATTTTCACTTTTACTAGTCACTTTTAGCATATCAAGATAAGACAATTTCTTTTTTCTTGTTATGCCCACCATATTAATTACTCATTTCAAATCATGTTCTCAAATCCATTAAAAATATGCATCAATTAATATGAGTATCAAGGTAAATTATGTGCTTCATTTATTATTTCTTAAGGGGTGTGTAAAGTCTATAGTGAACAAGTAAAAGTGTATTAAGCACTAATTGATACACTATCATGTTACTTATAAAGTAATTATAAGTAAATTCGCATTAAATGCAAGTAAATTTTTAATAAGTATTAGTAATTGGTAACTTGATAAAAATAAAAGTATTATCTTAAATTAAGTGATAGTGTAAAAATTCATTAATACTCTGAATATAACTTAGATCCTTTTTAAGGAAACAAGGGTGGTTTAGTCCAACTGGACATTAAATTTGACGATATAGATGTGTAACCAAGACATGTGGCCACTGGCCGGTCAACTCCCTCTAAGACACCATAAATAAGATAATCTTGAATCGGTAATAAAATACATCATATCTGTCAAAAATATTAAACTAGAAAAGCCCAAAGTTCATTCAAGAACCTCATACCAAACCATACAGCAAAAGCATTAAAGACCTCCTTCCTGTTTAAAAAGGAGAGAAAGCTGAAAGAAACAAGAAGCAGCAAATACAAAAAGAAGTGCAGAAAAAACCATTGGAAGAAAGAAAGAAAGAAAATGGAAGAGGCTGCAGATATTACAGAGAAAAAAGAGAGAGGTGATGAAGAGACTAGCTTAACTAAAGTTTATGATATTTCCAAGAATCCAATTTTCTACTTCCAAGAAGCCATTAGAGCTATTCTCAACTGTCTTGGTTTTGAATCTTCAAAACCTGAGTCGTCGTCTTCTTCTTCTTCTTCAAGTATGTCAGATCAAAAAGAAGAAAAAGAAGAAGAGAGTATTAAAGAAGAGAGTAGTGAACAAGAAAAGTGTGTTTTCCAAGAAGAAGATGGTCCTGAAGGGAAGCAGGCTTCAACAAATACTAACAACGAAAACCCTAGTACTCCATCAGCTAATGATCCACCTCAATCCCAAACACTTGTAAGACTTCTTTTTCCTTTACTTAATTGCGCTCTCTATCGTAAGTTATGAGTTTATTTGAACCCTAGCTTTGACTCGAATTCAGTATATCATGTGTTAAAAAATCATTAAATAAGTATAAATAATTAATTTCGAACTCAGTAAATTAAATGAGTTATGAATTTGAACTCGAACTCATAAAGTTCAAATTCTTGATTCACATCTTATCACACAGAAATATACGTGTATATATAAATATATGTATATGTATGTTTGTGTTTGTGTGTACGCACTTTGCTAGCTCCATTATAAGTGGTAACTTTGCTTAACTTGGTGAACAGAAGATGTTTTCTATTTGTTTTTTTCTCCTTTTCAAACAAACAGCCCTTAACAAGCTTAACCATTCTCGTATTCCGACTATGAAGGTAGGCTAATTAAATAAGAGATCCAGATCATGGAACATGTTACGTAGTAAAGATGAACATAATGAGGAACTGAATTTTGTTTCTGTTATTTAAAAAAACGAAATTAAAACACTTATGGGGTATCAGATATACTTCAATGGGTTATTAAATAATCTTAGAGTGAAAAAGAATAGTGAATAGTTCTTCTTTCTGCTTTTCTCTCTCTCTCTCTCTCTCTCTCTCTCTCTCTCTCTCTCTCTCTCTCTCTCTCTCTCTCTCTCTCTCTCTCTCTCTAAGCATATAGAAAATACGAAGTTAAACAAGCTGAAATCGTGAATAGATTCCATTAAAATCCATTAAGCTAAGTATGCCAATAAGATCCAGCTGAAGTAGTAATGTAGCGTCCTCAGAGTACGTATTAGTGTTTTGAGTTCAGTTATAACTGAGTCTATGGTTATTCTTCTTCTTCTATTTTTTGTGTGTGTGTGTGTATTTACTTGTCCCTTTTGCTAAAAATAATTATTCAAAAATACTTGTAGTAGAGAATCGAGAAAGAATTAATAATTTATTTTCAATTTTAAATTTCTAATCTAATAGGAGTAAATGTTCTTGAACAGAGACTAAAAAGATTAATTTGAGAGATCAAAGAATAACAAGGTAATTCAATCAAATATATAACTCCGCACAAGGCTAAAATGAGAAGTAAATTGGATCGGTGCATCTCCTTTTTTCTTTTTTAAAAAAAATAAAAAGTCACACAAAGTCATGTCACTCGTTTTATTTGGTGTAAACAGATAGAAGCAGCAACAAGGAGGGGAAGAACACCACCAAGACCTGGAGTTAGCAGAGGAAGTCCTCCTCAGAACAATTAATTTAAATTACATACTCTTAAAATCTATGACCCATTTTCATAATTTGGCTAGGGTTTTATTGAAGTTATATATATATATATATATATATATATATATGGTCAACTTTCAAGACTAAGTTTTGCTGGTCTTTTATCTTGGTTTGATTTCCATACAAGTCAATTGTTTTATGTTGTTTTAGGTCCTTTATTTGTTTATACATATTGTGAGATATAAGGATCTTATATGTGCAAGTTAATAGTACATAATCTACAACTTATTTGTCGAGTTCTTTGTCAATTCTGTAATGCTAACGTTAATGTTCTCCAATTGTTGATTGAATTTTCTAATTTTAACTTGATCACCTCTAGCGGAACCAGAAATTTTACCAAAGAGATTCAAAAAATTTAAAAATTAAACATAAGCGGCCAAGCGAATTCAACATTTAATAGATGTATATGAAAAACATATTACAACAACAACAACCCAATAAAATCCCACTAATGGGGTCTGGGAAGGTAGTGTGTACGCAGACCTTACCCCTACCCCGGAGGAGTAGAGAGGTTGTTTCTGAAAGACCCTCGGCTCAAGAAAACAAAAAGACAAAAGGACAAAAGGAGACAATATTAGTATCACCACAACAATCATAGGAAAAATAGGAATACCATGGAATGCAGAAGAAAGATGAAAAGCAAAAGCGATAGCTAGTAAATAGGACATGCACTGAAAAACGAAGTAGTAAAACACAACATTGTCACTAGCTATCTTAGAAAAAAACCCTACCTGGCTAGTCCCACAATGGTACGAAGTAAGTCAAGACTCAACTACATCCTAACCTACGACTCTAATACTCGACCTCCACATCTTCCTATCAAGTGTCATGTCCTAGGAAATCTGGAGCCTCGTCATATCCTGTCCGATCACCTCTCCCCAATACTTCTTAGGCCGCCCTCTACCTCTTCTCGTGCCCTCCACAACCAGCCGCTCACACCTCAGTACCGGAGCATCTGGGCTTCTCCTTTGAACATGTCCGAACCATCTAAGCCTCGCTTCCCGCATCTTGTCATCAATGGGAGCCACGTGCACCTTCTCCCGAATAACATCATTCCTAATCTTATCTATCCTAGTGTGCCCGCACATCCATATCAACATCCTCATTTCTGCTACTTTCATCTTCTGGATATGTGAGTTCTTAACGGGCCAACACTCAGCCCCATACATCATGGCCGGTCTAACCACCATTTTATAGAACTTACCTTTGAGTATTGGTGGCACTATCTTGTCACACAGGACTCCAGATGCTAACCT